CGTACGCCATGATGAAATCGTCACCGTTCAAGTTCACTTAGACGATACGTACACGTCACACTCTAATAAGAAGTCGAAGCCGCTCGTTGCCTCGATGTAGGCTAATAAGAGAGCAGCACGCGATCCAAGAAAGCCCCCACACCCTCCATAATATAATCCAGGGTTTTTGCTCGTTTTTAACCGTCGGTTCGATCGTAACAAGTAACGACATTGCCCCACCAGAAAACGCTCCTCGAATACGGGCGTTAGCCTCGATGTGTGCAACTAACTTAACGAGTCATGGTAATACGATCCGGTGTAGAAAGAGAGAGAGAGAGAGAGAATTTCGGTTGGAAGTCGTCGACGTTTTATCATCGTGGAAAGAGAACCGGGCGGAGAGTTTGTATTTTAAATTTCACGACACTTTTCGCGCCACGCTTGGGTTTACTTATTTTATTTATCGTGCAAGTTTATGAGAGAGAAAGAGAGAGATTATTCGATAGAACGTTCCGATTGAAAAGAGACAAAGATCAGAGATTGAAATTAATACGTACATATATTTTTAATTAATTTAGTTATTTTTCAGAGACTTTTTTCCCTAATTCTATTAATAAAAGGAAATATTTTCACACGTACACATGATCGAAGGCAAAATTAGCGTATTTCAGAGAAGATGATTTTAAACAACTTTTCAAAATATCGATTCTAACAGCAATAGCCTCTTCTACTTGAATTAACCTCTACTTAAATTGGTAATTTCAACAACCCAATTTCTTACAGCCTTTGAATATTAAAATATTCTAATTGAATCGTCATCATCCGGATCGGCGGAATATCAGAAATGCTGAATGTTCCAACTTCGCGTTACAAAAGGAAGAGCTCGTTCTTCAGTCGCAAGTTTGCACAACTTTGATTTTCAGCATTCGGTTCCGGCTCGGTGTGCTAGATCCATGGAAATGTGTCTCCGCGAGGAAAGGAACGATGAAACGGCTTTTTCTCAACGCTTTTATCATTGGCGTGCGTCTAACAACGAACGTCCATCGGAAGGAACGCGATATAAAGGATATAAAACGCTTGGAAAGGAATACCTAATTGCGGTTGATAGTTTCAAAGATATCGTGTGCTCTCCTGATTTCTGACGGAGAGATACTCGTGATTCGACAAATATGGAAACGCAAGGATCACTTTTCGCCGTGTTTACCCGAATCAAGATGAACTTGGGTTAAAATAACACTTGGATCCTCGGCCATGATAAATTCGTAATTCTTGGAAATTCGTTCTTCGATCTAAATTTAGATTTTTATTTTTGTACAGAAAAAAAAGTGTTGCCGATTTTTTCGTGATTTCGTCGTTTAGATAATCGTTGAACCGAGGAGATTTTCTATTCGTACGAGCTAATCAGCTAATATTATTTCTCCGCGATACCATTTTCATGTTGCGTCCTTTTCCAACAACTATAGTTTGCGAAAGTCTAAGTGAGTCATCGACTCATTTGTCTAAGCATTTCTGCAACTCGACTTCTGAAACGACTCCACGCTTTAAAGTCCTATTACCTCCTTATTTACCTTGCGGTTAATCTCTTTAACCGATATAATTTTTCCTCGCGGGTTTTACGCTTCTAAAAGAATGTTTTTGTGATGGTTCGTTGCGTTTGTTATTCGATCAAATTATTTTAACAGAATTTTACTCGATTTAGATAAAATGTTGAAGCGCAGATTCAATTCGTCGTAAATTTTCCCTTTTCCTTTCTTCGCCTCAAATAATTAAGAATATTTCTTAATTGAATTTTAATACTTTTAAGACTTTTAAGAAGCATGAAAAATATTTTATTTATCTGCAATAAAGTTTTACTATTTTTCTTAGTTTCCTTTCTTTTACGATTTATTATATTTTGTTAAAAAATCGTTCTTTTTAAAAGTTAAATTTCGATCGTTAAATTCTCATTAAAAAAAAAAAAAGAAAAAACAGCAGAAAGCACCAACCAGGAGATAAACGATCAGAGACGCAAGAACGTTTAAAACGAAAGCAACCGACTCGATTGTTGTATCGTGTCCGAGGCTGTTCTCAAGGAAAAACGAAGAGATCGCGTCATCGATGCTCGCTGAATAATCGTATGCGCAACTTCTTAGCTGCTCTACCGTTTTCTTCACGAGCCGTGCACGATTACTATTATTAGTTTCTTCACGCGAATTTATCATCGAAATTTTCCTCGAGTTTCGCATAATATTTCTTCCGTCGACATTATTCTTTAATTACATCCAATTCGAAATTCGATTTTCGATTCAAATTCAAAATTAAAAATCTCAGCTTTGCAAATTTTAATTATTTAGAAATTTAAAGCTATGGGATAAGCGATTTAGAATTCTACAATTCTCGAATAAAGAGATATCTTGAGACCGCAATTTATTGCGAGCAATATACATACATATGGATAAAGAAAAAGAAAAAATAACAAAGATAGATGGGCCGAATTCGAGAGATACTAAATTATCGATTAGCATTTAATCTCCGAAAAATATTCGAAATATATTTTTATTCCCACCGATGTGTTACACGCATATTATACGTCATTAAAGCTAGCTGCTTATCTAAATCAATATTTTTATTCAATAAGCTACAAAGCTGCTTCGATCGTATTTTAATCCTCCCTCGTGATCGCTTTATCCCTTTATAAGCAACGAACAATAGGAACTCCTTTCAAATGATCCATCTTTGTCGTATTTATCGAGAAAAATACACATCGATTTGAATTATTTATTCATTTTTCCACCGCGGTATATTCGATTATCGATGGCCTCAATTAATTAATTAATAATTCCTCTCGATTCGAGGCTCGATCGATCGATCGAGCGGAAATCGAAAGATGGTGAATCGACCAGCCGCTTGACTTTCACTGAGCCGTCGATCCATTGGTTGACCAGTGGACAAGTCTGACACGAATTTGGACGCATCGACACCTATTTTGTGAACGGCGCTGTACGCCACGAGTCCCCGCCGCCTAACGGTATATCACCAGCAATGCTATCCATATATACTCGCTTCGTTTGCACGCCACGTGTTCGATGCGTGTATAGACCGCCTGTTAACACAGTTATCGCATTCTGTTATCGATAATGCTTCCTCCTCGTAGCTGTTCTATCCTGCGATGGTACAACAGTATCGGGAAAAGGTTTGTATTTTCGGCGAACTTCGATCGGAAGGAATTAAAATTTCTTTGAAACTCTATCGAGAAGTGAGAATTTAAATCCGCGGAATTCACATCATTTTTTGATATTTCGAAATCGGGGGAACGTTAAAGTTCGAGAAGCGATAATCTTGGAATTTCGTAAAGAAGGAATTCGAGAAACGCGTTGCACCGACGCAGCTGTGTCGCGATGACCAGCCACGCTGGACTAAACGCACAATTTTGTCGATTCCGACAACGAATGGCGAATGAACGGATGAATGAATTACATTATCCGTGGAAACGTGTTTTGTAATTTAATTTACGAGGCAATTTAACAATCGATATTGCGAAAGAAATAGGTCGACGAAATATATAAAACGGATTACAACTTGGAAGCTGTCCTCGTAGCTCGTTAGTTCGATGTTCGAAAATTCGGGATATTATAAAATTCTTTTCGCTTCATAGCCTGTACATAACCTATAAATCAACCGATTCTCGTCGAAGATGATTTATTTTCAATTCGAAGAAACAATGACGAAAAAACAAGGAACTATTCGTTCGAGCGGCGATTAAGATTAAGAGAGAGAGAAAGAGAGAAACAGAGAGACAGATAGAGACACAGAAAGAGAGAGAAAACAAAATATGGCCGCCCACTTTCTAATCCTACGGTTACAACGGTTCGAAAAACAGGAACGAGGAACGAGGGAATGATGAAGCGTGAAACGCACGGAACTAAGAAGAACGAGTCCGACTCTTTGTCCTCTCGTTTCTATGTTTCACGCCGCGTTTCGCGCGACTAATTCCCTCGTAAACGTCGGTTATAATTCGGGACCACCGTGGAAAACCACGTTCATTGCATTCCCCGCTATCTCCTTGCCAAAGAAGAATAAATAAATTTTATATCGTGACACGATTATTGGGACGAGATTCTCGTAACGTAACGGGCCTCCATTTTTCCATCGATCGCGCATTTTTATAACCTCGCGTTAAGAGTTAATAATTAGAAAGCGTGATATCTTTTTCTTTTTTCTTCTTTTTCCCCGTCATAAGTGTCCGACGCGCGTACGAGTAAAGAGTGTGTCCGTTTCCAAAGTGTGGAAAGTGTATTAAAGAGGAAAAAGAAACGCGAAAATATTTTATATTTCATTCCATTGTGTCGTGATGCAATTAAACAATAATTGCGCGTCTTTGATGACCGAGCAAAATGTCAAACTGACATTTTGCGCAATGAAGGAGGGAGGAGGGGGGAAAGGCGATAACCGTGCGCGTGTGTATGTGTGTGTGCGTTCGTGCGTGTACGCGTGTGTGTGAAATCGTTGCGTGAAACGAGAAGCGATAAAGAGTGGAAAAGAGATAAACGGAAGACGAAGAAAACAGTCATCTCCATCTGAATCGTCTTTCGCAAATCGATCGATTTATCGAAATTCAAATTTATTTCCCTCGATATTCGTTAATTTTCGAAACGAATGCTAACGAAAGATTAATATATTCGAATGAAATATGATTTTAATTTGCGTAGGATATATTTTTGGATACGTTTTGTCGTCTCGAATTTCGTTTATTCGAACGGTGTCTCGTCGTTTGGTGAGTCGTTGAACTGGCGAAGTGAATTCGTGATTCGTCGAGACAACTATCAAGGCCGTGATAAATAAATAACACTTTAGGCAAAAATATATAAAATTCATTATCGAAACTCTAACGAAATATGTTCTATGAACTGTGATAGCTTAAAATCGAACGTGATAATTCTTTTCTTCTTAAATAAAAAAATTCAATATAAATTCGAACGATAAATTCGTCCGTAAAAAAAAAGCAGAAAGTCGTCAGATGTTTTTCGTTCGACGCGAGGATATACCTGGCTGGTGTTTCCAAGTGACACGATTCCAAAGCCAATTGACATGCATCACCAGGTGACACTAATCACTGACACCGCACCGATCGATAAAGTGTACGAAAGAAAAGAGAGGCGTTTCACGGAGTCGCCTTCCTCCGCGCGTTTTCGTTTCGAAGCCGCATTACGCGGTCGAATAATTAGATTTTAACCGACGGTCTCTAAATTGATGTCACCGCCGTGCCGACAGTCCGAAGCCTTATGACGCACGAGCCGTGAATATAATGCGCGTTATTATCGCGTAGTTATGGCCGCCACAGCCAATAAACGTGTCCGCCGCCCAATTTTCCGCCATTGATCACTGTGTATAATCGATTTCTTCCACCTTCTTCCCTCCTCTTCCTCCTGTATTTCTCTTATTACCCCGATAATTTTATTCCATCATCCTTGCTCCTTCTGGTCTCGTTTTTTTTCTTTCTTTCTTTCTTTCTCTTTTTTTTAATTTTCCGCCATACTTCCACCGGAATAATTGATTTCTTTCGCCGTTTTATTTCGAAGGCTGCTCTCCGGCGATCGATCAAATTCTTTGGAAAATTGGCGAATTATATTATCGCGGATATTTCGATCGTGCAAAATTTTCCTCGATTCTTCTCCTTCTTCTTCTCCTCTCCTTTTTTTTTTACGCTCTTTCGCTCGAGGCATTAATCGATAATTGAACGTTTATTAACGCCAAGAGAGTTTCGATCGGAGTGTATCGAGCTCTACTCCACGTTTGGATATATTTTGGTGAAAGCAAAGTATTTTCTAGCTTTGGCTTCAGTTTTTTTTTCAATAATATTGTATGTATATATATATATATACTCCTGTATACGCTTTGCCATTCAATTAATATTTATCTTAAGTAGCACTTTACTTTCTTCTGTCAGCTATCTTATATTTCACCTGTTACTTATACTCGGTCGTTACTCATGTTTCAATTTTCGTTTCCCATCAAGATTCTATCCCATAATTCACAACCTCGCCACGCACTCGCGGAATCACTTTCTCGAAATCTCGGGCGGGATTTGCCAAAAACAGGAAAGAAAAGAAAAAAAACTTCGCTTCGACGATTTCACTGAAAAAATTCCCACCGCCTCCTCCCCTCATAGATCCACCCATTTGCTTTCTTTCGCGCCCAACAACAACAAAATTCCACCGTTCTCCCGATTATATAAAGACAATCGAACAGTCGCGTCGTCGCCTACGGTTGTTCCACCACGTCCTACCATCCTTCCCCCCCTCGCCACATTTCACCCGCGTTTCTCCGTTACGATTTTCATCAACAAGTATCGCCTCCTCGACTCATCGATTCCTTCTTCTCTTCCCTTCTCTCCGGGATCGACGAAATCGTAATTTTAAATCGTAACGCGATCGAGAAGAAATAAATAAATAAGAGTCGATGTGAAAGTCCGCGGCCGTGCACAACAAGTCCGTGTCCTTCCCTTCTCTCTCTCTCTTCGCTTTTCCCTCGACACGATGACTTTCCACGGATAAGCAACGCGAAAGCAAAACACCTATCCTTTGAACTTGGTATCGAGCTTTCGCTGCATCCTCGATTCCCACCGACCGGTTCTTCTCTTCCTTCGAAACGATCGATCAAAGCTCGCCTCGCTTTCCATCCATCCGATCCCTTTGCGCCGCGGCTCCCCTCTTAGCCGAGATTTCGCTCACGGCGCGATTTCCTTCAGTTTCGATTCGAAAAAGAATTCGTTTTAATCCCGATAATCGTCTCGTTCGAAAAAGTCGTCCCAGTGGTAAGTCACCAATCACCGCGCAACCAACGAGAGATCCAATTTGCGCGCGCGAATTCGAATCGCGTCGCGCGCGAAATCGCACGTTGTTTACGATGGGTTGAGAGCGCGCCGAGCAACGAGACACGCGATATCGCGGTTGTTCGCGGTTTCAGGTTGACTGGCTCGGTTCGCTCGCCGCGGCTCGCCTCGATGTTCGCCGTGAAACCGGCGACGAACGGCTGCACCCCACCTCGATGGACGCGACGTGACGTGGTCTTGCCGACTCGCGTCGCTCTACCGCCTCTCCCGTCTCTCTCCTCGTAAATTCTGTTCTTTTGTTTTTCTTTCTTCTTCTTTTTTTTTAATACAAGATAACGCGAAAATTTGAATAATTTTCAAGAGCGATACGGCCGAGGCCGCGATCTTGTGGGGCAAGGCGAACGAGATCTGGGTTGGTGCGTTGCTTGGACGTGTGGATTCGTGTCGACGAATTCGATGAAATTTTGTTGAAGAAAGTTGGAACGCGGCAAATGACATATTTTCAATTCCAATCCTGTCTTATGCGTGTTCGTATTCGATGATCGAACAAAAGAAGTAAAAAAAAAAAGCAAAATGCTTCACAATTGTCGAAATACTAATATTTTAGGATATTTCTATTTGTTTTATGAAAAATATGTAATCCTCGAAAAGTTTAGCGTTTCTATTAAAATTTACAATTGGTAAATTTCTGAATGTTGCCTCGAATTGCATCGAAATAACGACTCTCGTGAAATGCCTTTGATTTTTTTGGAGAGGAGAGAGGAGAGGAGAGGAGAGGAGAGGAGAGGAGAGAGAGAGAGAGAGAGAGAGAGAGAGAGAGAGAGAGAGAGAGAGAGAGAGAGTAGTAA